CTTTCTAGAAGGTAATTATTAAGCCCCATCTAATGCCCTTTGCCTAAATTTTATTATGCTCAAAATTAATATTTCTTTTCAGCTTTCTTTAATTAGAAGATTATTTGGTGGATCTTTGTCTATCAACAAATTCTCAACGTGTCAGTATTAGTTTGTGGTAGATGTGTCTCTTATAAGCATCCTATGGGTTCAATAGTGTTAAAAAAAAGTCCTAATATCTCCATTTTGTCAGTTTATAAAATTGAACTACATTTTTGCTTTCTTAATTTGCTGCTCCTATTTGTCATGCTTTGTTTCCTGGTTTGGGCTTGGGTGAACTGCCAGTCCTTTGGATATCCCTCTTATGGCTTTGTCATTGCTGCCAATTTTCTATTCTCCTAAGAATTGTTGCTAAATTAGACTAGTTAACTGCATCTTTCAACTCAGCTATATTCTTTATAATATTTATCCTTTTTGAGATCAGCTCTGGAGTAAGTGTAAGACACTCTCACCATGATCGTGAAATTACCAGTTTCCCTGTAAGAGCACTAATTATTATATTAACTATTCCAAGTCTATTTGTTGTTTGAATGCAAGTTTATAAGGGTATTAGAGATTTTTTGTAGGTTTATTTCTTTTATCACCTAATAACTTGCAACTCTTTTGGAAAAATGCTTCAGTACTCAAACCAATCACGTTCATTTTTCTCTAGGAACCTTCCTTTAATTGTCATTTGACTAGAAAGATATGAAAAAGATTTGGCCCACAATAAGAGGCTTTAAATGTGACCTATAGATTTCTATGCCTATACGAAAGTGATCCACCTGGCAATGTCAAAGACAGCCCAGCCATATTGGAAAACTGACAGGCGCAAGTCTGCACACAGGAAGCCAAACCCATGGATCAGCTTTGCTGTGGGGAAACCAGGCCTGCATTATATCTAGGCTGCTTTGAGGATTGTGCTTGCTAAAACTCCCTCACCCTGAGTTGTAGCAGAAAATGTTTCTTGCATATCTTAAAGTAACTTCCTGAAGTCTGTGCTAATTCTCCCAAGGATAGAGTGTAACCAGACCAATCACTCTTATTGTTCCCTTGCATTCGCAACTTTTTTTTTCTTGTTAATCTGTAAGAAGTAATGAGTAACATCCATTCCTTTGTTATCTGTAAAAAGTAATCACCTAAAGCAAACCTGAGCATAATGAATGGAAACCTTCTTTGATGTATGCTATTAGAAAGTAATAAAATCCTGTCCAAGCAACGGTTGAGGTGCTCTCTCTCTAAGAGACTGACTGTGCCATGCCTTTTTCTCCATAGGACTTCTGTAGTCCGTGTGAATTTGTTTGTTCCATCACAACATACGGACCCTGATGGACAGAGTCCGCATCACATACCTAGTTATGACAACTTGTAAAGAAAATTTAACCTGCTTTGTCTTAATATGTGAGAAACCCTGACTGGGATGCTCCATGTTTCTATGAGTGAGAAAGACAGTTGTTTCCACATGTGATTAGGTTGACCACACACTGTGTGTTGCAGGTGGGTACCAAGTGTTCCTAGTGATGAAAAGGGAGCATCTGCTTGACTCAGGTGTGCAGGCTGGACAAAACAGGGACCAAGTCCCTCAGTTCTGAGAGTTGTGTCTGTGCCTAGGGCTCCAAGTCACCCTCTAGCTGGAGCCCACCTTAGGAAGAGAGCTGTGCTCCTGTACTCTCTCTGTGTTTTCAGTCCTCACAACAACTCAGGGTCTTTTGATTATCACTGTGGTAAACATTACTCCTGGAATGTACACTTTGCTGTCATTTCATTGGCAATACCAAGTATCATCTTAACTATTTTCCTCATTGCTGTGGCCAAGAAATGACCAATATTCAATTTTCAAATAGATTCAGAATAGATGTAAGTATAGGAGCAAGTCATGCAGAATAACCCTCATCTAAGAAGAGAACCTTCCAGTTAATGCAGTACTTTTATTTTTAACTCTGAACTTTGTCCCAAGCAGTAAACCTTTGGGGAAAGGCACAGACAATGTGACCTCCATTGGAGGAATTCCAACTGGGGTGCACTCCAACTGGGGTGTAGAGGCCTCAGGATAGGGCAAAGACTGCAGGCTGGGCAAGTGGCAGAGCTGGCTGGCCCTCTGGTTTCTAAGACCAGGGCACTATGCCAGTTCTCACTGACTCCCTGAAGAACTCAGGTAACTTCCTCACAGTCAGCTCGCTTCTTTTCTCCAAGGGAGCCAGAGATCTCACTCTAGGAAATGGTGTAGGTCACCCAGTGCCCAGTTCAGAAATAGTCAACCAGAGAGTGGAGACTGTGCTGTCAGCAGCCAGTCTGAAACATGGCTCCTCTCTTCACCTTCTGTGGGCTCAGAATCCCACCAGTATTCACTCCTTCTGTCCTGCAGCCCTGGGAAGTATGGAAGAAAGATTACTATGAGACATATGTCATCCCCCTCTGACTCATGAGCTGGCCCTGGGCCAAAATGGAGATTTCTCCAACAAACCCTTTAGAAATTGCTTTTAATGGATCCTCATCCTGACATAGACCAATAGCCCTCCTCTGACTCCTGCAATGTGCTGTTTTTTGGAACAGGTAGTTTTCTTGTTTCAGTAAAGCATGTAATACATTTACTTATACATGGGATAAGCCACTAACCAGTAGGAGTGACTATCCTGTCTTGTTCTATATACTTATCTGGTGCCAGCTAAGGGGTGTGTAGATCCATTTCATCTTGTAGCCACCTCACATTTACCTCATATGCAAAGTCTCCTTTAATAAACTCTATTAATTTCCAGACTGAAATGGCCAGCCTCTTTCTTCCATCTTTCCCTGCCCTTACAGAAGTAGATTTTCAGTCCTGGGGCCTTTCTCTTGTTTTTATGATCTAACAGTAAGAGAGGGTATGCACACATACATGGAGTGTCATGGGCCCGAACAGGACTTCCATCATGGCCACCCTCATTGACTGACCATAGTCCCTAAGGTTCCTGCTATCTTGGCCCTTCTTATGAAATCCACTCATCAAAGCAGATAGCACTAGACAGCCTCTCCTAAACCTTCCCCAAGCTCGCTTGCAACGCATAGACCTTCAAGGAAGACAGGTGCCCAGCCAGAAGAGAGCAGGGCAGGGAGGAGCATATTCCAATAAGAACTGGTCTCTCAATACTGTACCAGGTCCCTACCTCTGTTATCTGTAAACCCGATCACCTGGCACATGCCCTTACTCTCAGGGGCCTAGGGACACAGTAAAGATCAGAACAAATTTCTTTCTGTAGATTCCTAGGGTGAGAGGGTAGAACCACTGACAACCACCACCCCCATATACACATGTGGTCTAAACAAGGCTGGAATCATTGAGTCCCTGTCAGGGGCCATGCCTTGATATCTCGTGAGCTCTCCCCCAGCCCCAGATGGTGGGGTGAGCTCACAAAGGGTTTGGGCCAAGGTCCACTCTCCATTGAGCTGGACCTATAAGGACACCTTCTCCTAGAACTTGCTCAAAATGGCACCCGAGTGAAATGAGTGAGAAGATTCCTTGGAAAACATGCATCGGGATAATGGTGGATAAAGGCAACCTATAGTCTTTATTCTTCTGAATGAGCCACATATTGGGAAAGACCAGGGTGGCAGCAGTAGGAAGGTCTTCCACAAAAATCCACTCAAGTCTAGAAGCAGGCAGACAGGGCTGTGGGAGGAGAGCACAGCTGTGCCCATGCTGACTGATGCTCTGCCAGTAACAGGGTGCCAGCAGCACAGCTCTCCCCTTGGAGTCACACGTTCTTGGGAAGCCCATCCAGATTTGCAGGGGTCATCCAAGAAGACGTCTGACACCACAACTCTTCTGGTTCCCATGGGCAGATCACGAAACAGACTACTGGATACAGGTACTCTATTTAGGAGATTCTTTTTTAGAAGATCACAGATAATATGATGGGAAAGAAAGGCAGAGAAGAAAGAATGTCAGCATGATTGTTAGATGGTTTACCACAGCAGCCATGAGTTTTGTCCTACTGGGGTGTGTGAGGACCGTCTGACAACATGAGAACAACTCATCTCTTACTTGCCTTCAAGGGACTGGGCTCTGGGCCCTTCCTCTACAGCTCTTCCTCATGGATGGATTGCTGTCTGCAAGTCAGTCTAACTCTCCCCCTGCTGGTGGTCCCTGCTTTTGTTGATGGAGCTCCAGGGGCAAACAGAGGCCCTGAGCAGAGCTGGGGGGAAATGAGGATCCTTCTATGAGGCTGGGAGTGTGCTAATACTGGATTATCCAGCTGCAGGGGGCAGCAGGGGCACCTAGTATAGGTGGGGAATACTGCCCAAGGACAAATTCCACCACTTGCCTCTCTATACAAATAAAGTCTCATTGGGATAAGACCACCCCTGTATGTGTTCACATTGTCTATGGTGCCTTCCAGATACAAGGCAACATTAGAGAGTTGAGAAGAAAACCAAATGGTCCACAAAAGCCAAAGAGCTACTGTTTTCTTCTTTATAGAATAATTTGCCAAATCTTTTTCTAGGCTATCCAGGCAGAATCTCAATATCAGAGCCTCTCAATCTTCAATTGTCCATGGGTTCTCTGAGAATTTGAAATTTTAGTCTCTTTGTCCAAGGTACAAACCCTGAGAATGTACATTTAAAGATTCTAGGAGATGCCAGTGGTGGTGGTGGTGGAGGTGGCCTTGCCTGCTCTTTGAGTAGAGACTAGAATCCCCTCCTACATTGTCCTAGCTGTCATTCCCCAGGGAATGTGTGTGAGGGAGTCATCCAGAACAGAGGCTACACATATTCTGAGGGGCCTGAGGCCCTGTCTGCATCCATCCTTCAGACAAATGTTCGGTATCTCAGTCATGGCCATTGCATCTGTGAGACCGCATATTATCCCTCATGAGCCCTGAACTCATATCTCAGAGGCACCTTAGCTGTGCCACCAGCATCTAGTTTAGAAGGTCACAAGCAGGCTTCCATGCCAGGATGAGTTTACCAACTGCCCACCCCCCTCAGTCAGGAATGATGCTACATAGAGTTCGAAATGCTGATGTTTAATGATCTATTCTACATTAAATAATGGGCAATGAGGAATTTCCACAATGCTTGGGTGCAAGAGACCTTAGATATTTTCAAGGCAGAGAACAGAGTTCAGAGCAGCTCAGCCAATAAAGGGCCAATTACAGGGAACTGCTGGTTGTCCAAGTAGGGTACAGAGGCTGTGCTGAGGTGTGATATCACTTAGTGGAACCCCTCCAGGCAGGTCTTGTTTAGGAGTTGGAACATAGTTCTCCAGGGTTCGGTGCTGATAGTGAAGAAGCAGGTGAAGGTCTGAAGGAATAAGCACAGGAGTAAAGTATGAGTGAAGAAGTCTTGGGAATCTTGTGGCTCTAGTGCTAAAGATAGCATCCATCCCAAACTTGCATTTGCAAGGTGAGCACCTGAGGGTTGCCGGCTCTGGCCCACAGGTATAGCCCTGCCTTGGTCTTGGATATAGCTGATCTGACTCTCTCTTGACCTCAGGGTCTCCTATGTCACTCTGCTCTCCCCAGGCCTATGGCCCCCATGGAAACCCCAGGCTTTTCCACTGTGAACCATCCCCCTGGTGCAGTAACATGTGTTTCCTCACAGTAGTCCTTATATCAAGGAGAACTGATCCTAGGGGGGCTTTTCTTAGAGCAGGGATTCACTTCTCCCTATCTCTCAAGCAGAAACCACAGCTCATCGGGGCCCAGAACAGAGCATGGAATACAGGGCAGTGAGCTCCACTCAGCCAACCCCCCAGCAGGCTCTGCTTAGTGCCAGGAGGACCTGAGACCTGACCACTCAGTCAAAGGTGTTCCTCCTCCTGAAGGCAGCAAAGGAAAGTGGATAAAGAGCAGGAACAGTACATTCTGTGGCCAGAACCAGGGAGACCTGGCCCCTAGGGGCAGGAGCAATATGTCACCAGTATGGGCCTGAAGTTCAGACAGCCGAACTGGGTGAGTGGACATTCAGGATCTCAGACTTCCCAGGGGGCTACAAGTGGACCCTTGCCTGCCAGGCTGGGCTCTGTCTTTATCACAAGTGGTGGCTCTAGTATGGCCAACAGCTCTCTCATCCTTCTGTGTCCCTAAGAATGGTGTGTCCCCTGCTCCCCGCCACTACATTCCTACGCAAGTCCACAGCTGTGGAACCTGAAAGAGGCACACGTGTATCTTACATTGTTAAGCTCCGGGCTTTCTTGAAAGGGGCAATTGTCAATGTCATCATCAAGTTTCCCACACCTGGTTCTGCGAAGCTCCAACTCCATGGAGAAAGCCATCATTGTCTCTACCTGTGGTGCATATAGATATTAAAGTGGAAACATCCCTCATGGTCCCATTAAGTAGTTGCTTGTGTAGACACATGGAGTGTGGAGGCAAGCCCAAACAGTACCCTATTTTGGGCTTCCTTCTGGGTCTGGATCAGCTCTTTTGAAATAAATACATGCTGGGGACGTTCTAGGTGAAGGGGCACATGGTCTCAGTGGAGGCCCTGGGGTAGAAGCAGACTGATCACACACTATTAATATCATACACTGTAGCCTCACATTTCCCAATGCCATGGTGAGACTCCACCTTCCCTTTCAGCATGCTTCTAGCTTCTACAGCACTCACAGGGACAAGTGACAAGTGCTAGGTTGGGTGTTGGCTTTGCAAGACTTTGCTTGATGATCTCCATCTCAGAGTGGGAGACTCATGTACAACCTCATAGTAGCACTTTTTCACCTATCCAATGTCAGAAAAAAATGCTACACAATGCTAGTGAAACACACACATACACACATAATTGAGATGATGGCTTCAAGAAACAACCTCTATTACCTACTATGCTGTGAAATGTTCTGTACTCTTCTCCACTCTGTTCTACTCATTCTATCCCATATCTTCCCATTGCATCCCATCCATTATTCCCATCACCCAAACTCAGTCTGTGACTCCAGATATAGAAAACCCAAAACCCAACCAGAGGTCCAGCCTGAAAGAATTTAGGGTACCTGAACCAGCGGGGATGTTGCACACCAGTGTCCACAGAGGCTTAAACTCAGCAGAGGGTGAGACTCTCTGCCCTTGATGTAGGCTCTTGGTGCAGAGACCCAGAGGGTAAGAGAGTAATGCTCCCGACTCTGCACACACACACACATGCACACAGAGTCACACAACCAGAAGTGCTCATCATGAGAGTGTTTTCATTGCTCATGTCTGTAGACCAGATGAAAATGGTACTACTGGTTGTGGTCTGAAGAGATTCCATGGCAAGGAGTACCTTTTAGGATTAAAAGCCATCATCTGGGGAAGAGTGTAAAATAACATCAATCTACATAGTTTAATACCACAGCAGAGAACACAGAGATCATGAAAGTCACAGGAGAGGTCCTGACCCCACACTGGTTGAGGGGGGAGCACTCACTGCTTCTGATGCTCAGCCCTGCTCTTCCTCCTCTTCCCCCCCTCTCCCTGTGTCTATCTATCTAATAATCTTATTTTATTAAAATATTTCTTCAACCTCCCTTTTCCAGCATATTCTGTGTGTGTCTCTTTTTTTTTTTACAGGATATCTTTATCCCCTTTATCCCCTCATTGGCTAATTTGAGGTGATTCTTCACTAATCAATGTCATTAAGACTGAAAAATGCATGTGTGTCAGTAGACATTAATCTAATTTTTAAATTTCCATGTAAAGACTTTTATAAAATCTGAAACTGAATTGGTTGTATTTTTATGTACTTTAAATGGTATACAAGATCCTATGATATGTCTCCTGTCCTTTACCTTCACTTAATATAAGTGTAGGCCAGCAGGGCAGAAAGATGTGGTCACCTACCTGCTCCTTCCAGGAATTCAAGATGCGCACCAGCCTGTAGGCATTCATGTCCTTGCTCTTCTGGTTGAATATGTGTAAGGCATATTCCACAGTGGCAGGGAAATAACTTTCCATGATTTTTTCTTCATCATTCTTCATTTCATCTTGAGAGGTCCAGCTGTGAGTCACCTGCAGCTGGGAACTTACCAGAAGCAAGAGCATGGCCCAGGGAAGAGCCCACTTCCATTGCAAGCACAGCAGGGCTACAGGCAAACAGCCACCCATAGTCTTTCCAGCTCAAACTCCCAATGGAACTTACCTGGGCAGTGGTCCAACTTATTTGTTGCAGAACATATTCTTCCTGTGGGCCTCCTCTCTGCTATTACACCCTGTCCCTTCCCACATATGACTCTGCCTCCTCCATGCAACGTGGCTAAAATAGTCTCATGTCCAGAACAGAGGAATGAAGCCAAGGCAGGTTGGGTTGGGAAGAACCAGCAATAGGAAGAAGGATCCTCTCTAGCTAAATTTCAGCCACAGCACTGCCTCAGTGTCTCAGAGGGTAGAAAAGACTGCGTGTTTGACCCAGAATCAGATTCTCAAATAATGACACAAGTGCAAGAGGTACAAATGGAAGTCCCAAGATACAGCAGTAGAGTGGTGGTCAGCAAGACAAGAAGGGCAGAGCAAAAAAAAAAAAAAAAGGGCTGCCAAAAGCTAGCTTTTCAGATTATGAAGGTATCTACCCAGTGATGAATGTGTGTTTGTTAGAAATGTGCAGGAGGTGCTTGAGATTTTTACAGGCCTCAGTGTTATACTGTCCCACTCCTCCACCGACCTTCTTTTGCTTCTGAAACAGAGTTCACTCCTTGGCTCCTGGGGCTGTGGCCTCACTAGGGATGGTGGAGGATCAAGCTGAGCTCACTGCATCACTCTTTGCACAACTTCTCAGCTTATGGATATGCTTCTATGAGGTAAGCCTGAGGTGAGACTAGATAAGTAAATCTCTTCTTTTCAAAGATGTTTACAGAAATCTCTTCTTTTCAAAGATGGCTGGCCACTGGCATAGACTGCGCTTATATTTTTCTTTGTAGAAATTTATTTCTAGAGGAGGTGGAGTGGAGTGAAAGAAACAGAAAAGGAGGGAGAGTGAAACAAATGAGCTCCAGGGATCCCATAGCTGTGTCCATTAGGTGACCTTTGGTGTCCTTTTGTGGCCACTTTCATCACAGCTCATCAGGCACAATTTTCTATGTACAGTTTCTAGAAAAGAAACATTCACAGCAAATACAACTCTGGGTCAACTAAGACGCAGCTCTGGGATGACACTTTTTGCAAACAAGCTTCAGCTCTGCACCATGAAATAGGCCTCCAGCATCTGCGTACAGCTACTCCTGAAGTTCAAAGGGGACCATAATCTCCTGAAAGCCTGTGGATATCCAAGTCCCTGAGTTTGCTCCTACCCAAGGATTCTAACCCAGCATGTCTGGACAGTCCTAAAGAGTTTGCTTCTTAACCTAAAACCAGGGGATGGTGATGTTCTTAGTCTCTGGATTACACTTTGAATAGCACAGATACAGTGAGTTCCTTGGCTTAGATGCAACCAATCCCATGGAGAAATCAACTGAAAGAGCATAGGGGTGGGTCTTGAGAAGGGTTTCTGGAGCCACACTGGATCAGGGAAGGGGTAAAAACTCCATGCCTGCTCATAAAGAAAAAGAGTTTCCAGGCTCCAGACATCAGTGACCAGAAGGTGCTTGTGGAAGGGGAAAAGGCTACTTTCAACCTGACAGCCTATCTGCCTCATAGAGGTCTGCAGAGCTGATGTCCATTTCCAGGAAAGGGAGATGTTATATATGTCCCATCCTTTCCATCCTTGGGATGACCACATTCAGGAAAGCCCACTGCATGCTCTTAGCTAATGGTCTCCCCAAAGACCTGGTTTTCCAGTTCCCGACCAGGCCAATGCACCTGTCTATCCTCCATGCATCTTTGTGATTTCCTTTTGAGACAAGGTGCTAGGTTCACAGTTCCATTGCCTCCCACCAGACAATGGCAGGACAACATCAACTTGGAATGTGTTATTTGCCATGGACAAGAAACTAGATATGATCACATTTAAGAAACAGCAAGATGTGCAACAGAACTCTACCAAACAAGTTGCATCTTATGCAAAATTATTAAAACCTAAAAAAGAAGAAAATTTGCCCTCATGTAGATAGACCATAAATGACATAAGTCAGACACAAGACAAATACTGCAGGATTTCATTTTTTCTCAAGATTTGCTTTATTGTACACATTCTGCTTTTTATACAATAAAGAGCATTTTGTAAATTAAAACATTATAGACTTCCAGCGAAGATGGAGGCGTAGGTGGAAACACTGTACCTCCTCGCACAGCCAAGTTTAAAGACAACAAAGTTTTAGTAACAAAAACGAAACCAAAACACAGAGAACACTGAACTGTATGAAAGTCCCACAACAATGAACCATTCTGCCAGATGGGTGAGAGGGGCGGAGTCAGTGGCTGGGCGGGGTCAGGCAGGATAAAGCAGCCTGACCAACCCAAGAGCATGGGGGCGGTTGGCAGATCCCCAGACATGGGGTGGCAACAGGCAGACCCAGTGAGGGTGCAAGGCAGCTGGCTGACTGAGGTCACACATCCACACACAGATAAACCAGGAAAAGGAACAAGCAGTGAGACAGACTGCGCAGGCTAGGGCCCCAGCAGTGGGAATCAAAGCCTAAAAGCACCAATTGGAAAAACTTTCAGGGTCGAAGTGCCAGGAGAGGCTCCTAGGCTCACAGAGAGTTTGTTGGAGAGACCCAAAGGGTCCTGGAGGGTCCACAGGCCCACACACACGGGAGCCAGCACCAGGGAGGCCTGGTTTGCTCTCAGGAAGCAGCAGAGGAGACCGAAATCCCAGAGAGAGCAGAACAAATGCCATTGCCTCTCTCTGACCCCACCCCCACATACAGCATCACAAACCAGCAACTGGGTTGCCCCACCCTGGTGAACACCTAAGGCTCTGTCCCTCATACATAACAAGAGCAACTTGACCAAAACATTATGGCTCAAGAAGAACAGCTCAAAGCCCCAGAGCCAATACTTCTCAGTGACAAAGAGACAGCCAAGCTATCAGATGCACAGTTCAAAAACACTGGTGATCAGGATGCTCACAGAACTGGTTGATTTTAGTTGCAAATTAGGTAAAAAAAAAAATGAAGGCCACACTAAGTGAAGTGAAGCAAAATGCACAGGGAACCAACAGTGATAAAAAAGGGAGTGGACAGGAAGGAAGAAAAAAATGACCAAGCAGAAAAGAATGAAGAAACAAGAATTCAAAAAAATGAGGACAGGCTTAGGACCCTCCAGGACATCTTTAAACGTTCCAACATCCAAATTATAGGGGTATCAGAAGGGGAAGAGGAAGAGCAACAAGTGAAAAGCTTATTTGACAAAGAATAAAGGAGAATTTCCAAAATCTGGCAAAGAAAGTAGACTTCCAGGAAATCCAGGAAGCTCAGAGAGTCCCAAAGAAGTTGGACCCAAGAAGGAACACACCAAGGCACATCATCATTACATTAGCCAAGATTAAAATGAAGGAGAGAATCCTAGAAGCAGCAAGAGATAAGGGGACAGTCACCTACAAAGGAGTTCCCATCAGACTGTCAGCAGATTTCTCAAAAGAGACCTTGCAGGCAAGAAGGGGCTGGAAAGAAGTATTCCAAGTCATGAAATCCAAGGACCTCCATCCAAGATTGCTCTATCCAGCAAAGTTTTCATTTAGAATGGAAGGGCAGATAAAGTGCTTCTCAGATAAGGTCAAATTCAAGGAGGTCATCATCACCAAGCCCTTATTATATGAAATGTTAAAGGGACTTATCTAAGAAAAGGAAGATAAAAAATATAAACAGTGAAAGGACAGCAAGCTCACAGTTATTAACAACCATACCTAAAACAAAAGCAAACTAAGAGGACAGCTAGATCAGGAGCAGAACCATAGAAATGGAGACCACATGGAAGGTTAGCAACAGGGGAGTGGGAGGAGGAGAAGGGGGTAAAGGCACAGAGAATAAGTTGCATAGACGGTAGGTAGAAAATACACTGGGGGGAGGGCAAGAATAGTATGGGAAATATAGAATTTAAAGATCTTGTGACACATGGACATAAACTAAAGGGGGGGAATGGTAGGGGAAGGGTGTGCAGAGTGAAGGGGGATGAAGAGGGGGGAAATGGGACAACTGTAATGGCATAATCAATAAAATATATTAAAAACATTATAGAAAACTTGGAAAACAAGAAAAATCACATTCTATGACCATAATACAACTAATACCATTTGTGTATGTGTTTTTTAAGTCTATCATTTATCTATCTATCTATCTATCTATCTATCTATCTATCTATCTATCTATCATCTATCTATCTATCTATCTATCTATCATCATCATCATCTATCTATCTATCCATCTATCTATTTATTTATGTATTTATTTAAATTGTTGCTCAAGTACAGTTTTCTGTCTTTTAACACCATCACAGCCCCCCCAACCCTCCCCACCTCACTCCCATTTCCACTCCCCCCTTGTTTTTGTCCGGGTGCTCTTTATACTTGTTTCTGCAAACCCTTCCCCTTTTCCCCTGACATTCCCTCCCTTCTCTCATTTGGTCACAGCCAGCCTGTTCTCAATTTCAGTGTCTTTGGTTATATTTTCCTTGTTTGTTTGTTTTGTTGATTAGATTCCTGTTAAAGGTGAGATCATATGGCATTTGTCTTTCACGTCCTGGCTTATTTCAATTAGCATAATGCGTTCCAGTTCCATCCATGCTGTGGCAAAGGGTAGGAGCTCCTTCTTTCTTTCTGCTGCATAGAATTCCATTGTGTAAATGTAGCATAGTTTTTGGATCCATTGATCTACTGATAGGCACTTAGGTTGCTTCCAGCACTTGGCTATTGTAAATTGTGCTGCTATGAACAACTGGGTGCAGAGGTTCTTTGGTTGGTGTTTCAGTGTTTTTAGGATATAATCCTAGCAGTGGAATTGCTGGGCCAAAAGGCAGATACATTTTTAGCTTTTGGAAAAAATTCCATACTGTTTTCCATAGTGGTTGTACCAGTATGCAATCCCAACAACAGTGCACTAGGGTTCCCTTTTCTCCACAACCTTTCCAACACTTGTTTGTTGATTTGTTTATGATGTCAATTGTCACCAGTGTGAAGCGGTACCTCATTGTGGTTTTAATTTGCATCTCTCTGATAGCTAGCAATATTGAGCATCTTTTCATGTGACTCTGGATCCTCT